ATCCAACCAATCTTACCTCTTCAATCCCAATCATACCACTTTTTGCTTTTCCGCCACCCGATTTTCCATCTAGCAATGTAACATCAGGCATGAATTCCGACACTAACTCACATATTTCAGTTTTATACTCCATCTCACAGCTAAATAACCCGAATATTGAAACCCCCGATGAATTTGCCGACTCAGAACCATCCCCATCCAATAATTTTCATAACCCTTCTAATTTTTCTCAACCTCCTTTTCAACCCATATTGTCAAATAACCCTGACCCAATCACTCCCACACCCTCTTATGCTTCCCAAGTTACCCCAACCTACTCCTCATACCATTCTGACCAATCATCTCATTCTCCAGACACCCCCCGAATCTCCCCAGAACTAGATAATTTTATTACCCTCCAACAACAACCCTACCATCTTAACACCCCGACCATAAACCAAATCTCCTCCACTACAGATTCATCCAATCCCCCTACACCCTCTACAAATTATACTGAATCATTAACACCATCATCCACATCCACTATATCTTCACTAAACACAAATAGAGCTTACCGCACTTTTAAAAGAAAATTCCCCAACCATCCTTTCCCAGCAAAACCAGGAACAGCCCGTGAATACATCAACCACCCCCAGCATACTAACACTAAAGAATTTTTAGCTATCACTCTACCCTCATTTCCACAATACACTTTAAACACCCCTCACGACGCTAACGAAACACGCAACTTTGTAGATGAATACGTTTTAATGCCCACTCTCTCTTGGACCTCATACTATCATTTCACTAACCCTCTTTGCTTACCTTTATTCAGCACTTCCATCGATATAGAACGAAACAAAGACATGCTATATCGACTAACTACACCACTAACCGCTAGACAGTTTACTTACGTTGGATACAAAAAATCACTAAAAATACACACTGCACCTAGAGCTAATGAATATACACTAGAATACTACGATCACAACATCATTAGAGCTAACCAAGATCAATTCTTAGACGACGATCGCTTCGCTAATCCACAAATCACCGAGAAATTTTTCATCAAGACACCATATGTATTTACACTAAACATCTTCGACCGAAAGTTTGATCACATTATTTCAGAAGCACTAACAAACACACAAGCATACGAAAGTTTTAAAGAACGCTTCCAAATCTTTTCACTAACCTTTCATTTCCTTGCACCACACGAAAGAGATTTACACTGCTCACACGATATTATGTTGCGCACTAAACAAACACATACATACAGTTACTATCGTTTCATCCAAAATCACTTTGACCTCCACACACCCTCTAGACAACCACACCATCGTTTCCAATTCATCAACTCAAAATACACTTCACCGTATTTCCTAAATTTCACATATTGTATTAAAGACACTAACCTTCATGGTATTCTTCGTAATTATGACCCCATAACCCAAATGTACATTTTCTGCCCCATCACCAAGACCTTCAACGCCGAAGAATCCCGACCCTTCCTTATCCCGCACGAGTTCCTACAACCTATAGAAATCCCAATTTTAGAATTCATCCACAACACTAAATTTAACCACAAATTATATAACTTAATCCAAAACACACCTTATGAGTTTGCAGTAGGCACTGAAGAACTAACCACTATTAAGGCACTTCAATTGCTTTGGCCACTGCTTCAGACTAAAAATATCATCCGCATTCTAGCTAAACTACTAACAACTTCAGAACTAATTCACGACATCTTCCCCCACGGTTTTTTCCCCGACGACTAACAGGTAAGTATGAATTAAGTAAATATTACTAACTAATTACAGTATTAAAAACTCACCATTCTTTATTCATGTTTTCTTTAGATTTTTAGCCTTCATCCTAGATCATCTGAAAAATTCACAAAAGACAAATAAAAAATAGCAAACTTCTTCAAAACTGTTTAAGACCCTATTAAACTTTTGCACCAACAATTAAATAAATATAATACCAATGCAGTAAATTAATTTATAAAATTTTCCCCCCAAAAGCAGTAAATCTAATTATAATGAAAATTTGTATCTTAAAATTCCCCCATAACTAGCAGTAAATTTCCAAATTCTATGCAGTAAATTAATAAAATGCAATTGCAGTACTAACCTTTTGATATTTTCATTCATTCGCACAGAAATTCTATCCACACTCGCACAGCTCGCCCACGAAGAATTGTTTAAAATAATGAATTTCAGTTTCAAGTTTTCACACTCAACAACTCTAACATATAATAACATGTTTCAAACTTTCCTTTAACCCGGTTGGAAAGGAATCATATACTAAACAAAACTAACCAACGCAGCTTACTAAATACCACAAATCATAGAATAACAGCATGACTAAGAAAAGGAAACCAACGGTACCCAAACCGGATTAACCCAGTTTAAAACTGGATAATTTATTCTTTTGAAGACTATTACAAAGTCTTAGAAAGAGATAATAAAACACAAAAAAGTCGAAAGACAAACCCATACCACAAACAATTTGCTTTTTGAAAAAAGTACATAACCAACAAGACACAAGTAAAACCACAACAAACCCAACATAAAACGTTGTCACATAACAGGACCCCTCACAAAAACCGCATGAAATCATACTCCCACACCTGGCCTAACCCACCAGGAAGGACGTCCTGAGCATGCTCTATAGCCGGCCTAACCCACCGTGCTACATCCACGCTTTGTGACCACACCTTTATTTTTAATAAGAGCTACTCAAGGGTGAGTAACTCTTCAAAATAACCGAACTAAAACAAAAAGCTTTTGTGAAAACAACTAACTAAAATCATTATTAAAAAATATTAAACTAATAAAAGTTTTATAAAATGTAAAATCACATGATGCAATATATAGATCAGAATACAACACCAAGGACGAACATCAAAAGACAAGACGACCTCACTACACTCGAGAGAGAATGACCAACTACAATCGATATGCCGCTCACAATCACAACTCAAAGGATTTAGAGTACGACTTGACTTCGCAGAAAAGGACTTCATTGAACTAGACCAATGACCACCTCGATGTTCAAGTATACGTACAGATCCGAGTAACCAGGCATCCCCTCCACGCACAATCTCCACGCCATTCCCAAGCTAGATCAGACACAAAAGAAGTTCTCCCCGAAGAACAGAAAAACCTGACATAGCCAACCATTCTGAAATCAGAATTGATTTGTCGTTGTCACAAGAAGAAGCGGAAGAAAATTATGATGTTCGCCAAATACCAACGTCCATCATCCACCCTTGAATTACAGAAGAACTGTTCTAAAAAACTCTGTAAAACCCGGATGGGTGGAACCTGATCTAAACTATATTTTATGATTGGATAAATTAAATGTTTTACCAATGTAAAGTATTTAATATTAACCAATCATGATCCATCTAACTAACAACCCACTTATTTGTAAGTGCTGAAGTTACTTGTAATTTCAGCACCAGAGAGATTTGAATTTAACTTAGAAATTAGTTGGACTCTCCCGAGCACTTCAGCAGCCGCAATAAACCAGTATACCCTAGATCTATTGAGCCTAGCAGAGACTAGTTAAACAACCTGAGACTAGATAGTATAAGAGTAAGATTAGGATCGGTATTAGACTAAGAAGTTGCACGAATCTATCCGGCCGAAAATAAGATAGCGTGACGAGCAGACGGTGTACCCTATCCGAAATTACTCTATGAGTTATACACTCCAGTCTTAACTCATTCGATATAAAAAAAAACTCCCAGTAGTTTGATGTTGCCATCTCTAAACTAAGGTGTTGTCATGGTACTCTCAGGTATTGCGAATCTTGCCTCCAAATTTAGAATTGAAAAAACTCAAAATTTAGATTTATATAGACAATTTAGATTTTAAAAAACGCAAAAACAATTTGAAGTTCCCAACCCTGTATTTGTATACTATGAGGGTACTCTCAAGGCTGCAACTCTTGCCTCCAAGTGTGACTGCTCAAATGCTTTTAGTTTCCGGACATGATGTTTTTGAATTTTTTTTAAATGTTCAAAAAACTTGATACCAAAACCTTTATGAAATCTTTAATTTCACATTGTTGAGCGTATGTTTTTTTAGCCAATCTGATTTGAACATAGTGCATGCCGGTCTTACTGCTTGGGTTTGCTATTTAATTTTAGGGGGAGACTGTTCTTTTGGTCCATTTAAGGGTAAGATTGTAACCATGGGCCGAATATTGAATATGACAAACAATCATGATCGTAAAATTGCTTATTAATTGCATTTTAATTGGCTAAGTGTTTCTTAACTATTACACGACGTTGCAGCGGTCTGAGATAAAGATGTTTTTCACCAAATGTACCCCGGCGAAATGTGTTGGGGTAAGTGGGGTTTTATGTTGAAGTGGTTTTAGGGATGATGCTAGTAGCATCTAAAAATTTTGAGAACGATGATTAGTCCGAGCTTTTAGATAAACATAACCTGCAAATAGGTGCTCTTGTTCACAATTTTTTGACATTGGGTACTGCAATTTTTATATTTATTTCTGCAAAAAAAAAGATTTTTCACGGTCTAGGTAAAAAATCAATTTTAAGTAGTTTGTTTTTCCCCGAATTTATTCTAAATTTAAATAATGTTGTGCACAGGAAGTTTTGTAGGGGCGTTTTTCGACAATTGTTGGCATTGTTTGTCGATCGTTTTCTAAGGCCGGCAAAAATATTTATCGAGCGCCTCTTTATAGACATCGCTTAGCGTGCACAGGCGAATTGATCAGCTGAATTTTAGACAACATGTCAGAAATGATGTTGAAGGGCATCTTTTGACCAAAACAGTTTGATCAAGCGCTCTCTCCTCAAGTTTAAGTTATATTTTCACTCTGAGAACAATTTTAGGGTTGGTCAACCAAAAATAGATGAAACATAAAACCAAAGGGTAACCCTGAGGAAAAATTCATCATCAAAATATACAACCCCCCTCTCCTCGACACGCTTCTGTCAAAACACTTGATGTATATATGGCAATTTGTCATATGTGACTTACAGACGTGTCTTGGTAATATTTTCCCTTGGCGTGCAGCTCATCACATTTAAGTCTCAACTGTCTCGCTAGTTTCTTGGTAGCCAGCAGACCCTTGATGCTGCCCACTCCTCCTAAACCCCCAAAAGCTGAAAAGTTGATGGCGTCTCCCATTGTTGTACACAATATAAAAGTTGATAATTATAAAATGTGGTATAATGTGCTTTGGCCAAAATATGATACAGAAGGTCTACTACTACTGTATGCAGTCAAAAAATATAACATTAAAAACAAATTGTTATGATTTTTGTTGCCAAGTATAATGCAACGTATTTTTCAAAACACGATTAACGATGGTTAGAAAAGCGTTGATAAATGGTTTCTGTGGCACATTTTAAAGTGAAGCTGTAAAAATGAACTCTTTTAAAGCGTGTTACCGCATCTGCAAGTTTGCCATCTTCACCAGTGAGCGAAAAGCAAACTAATCAAATATCAATCAATAATTTCATTTTGACGGAGATGGCTTTGTTTCGGTGTCTTTTAGTGGTTTTACAGAGCATGTCAGGTCACATCAGAGGAAAACATTTTTCAAATCTTTTACGAAGCCAGTTTTTATTGTCTTAAAGTGAGCAATCAATCCATCATAAATCAGCTGTTTGGCACTTAAAGTCGATATTCAGTCACTATCGAAAAAAGTCACTAGAAATACCAGTCGCTATTGTCAATTTTTGCATGATTGACACGTTTTCTACAGATCGGACATTGGTGTCTCAGCATGATGAAACTTAACTAACCGAAAAATGTAAATAATCCTCAAGTACACTTTTGCAGTAAAAGTCCACATAATATCCCAACCACCTTTGTAAAACATATTTGTTTATTTGAAACTTTAAAATGGATTTTTAAAAATAAATTAATGGGACATTAACATCTTTATTAACTGTAAATTAATATTATATAGCGCATCTTTCCAAATATGTTTCAAAATTTGGTTGCTAGTGGCTTTGTTTGTACTCTCTTGTCCACTCAGAAGTGCTTTGGTCTGAGAAGCAAAAAGCTTAGAGCAGTTTTTATGGACACGAAATTTTGAGACCAACCATCTGGCCGTCAAGGTCGATTGAATGTGTTAAAGGCGGTCCTCCTACATTCTGGGGAACCATATTTTCCACTAGTTTATTTCTCCATGCTTGAAAATATTTAGCTTCTTTTTTATTGCTTCGCTTTATTTGTTCACATATTTCAAGAAGAGTTCATTTCAGATTAGTATTATTTTTAATAATGGACTTGGCTGAAACCAGCGACAAGTCAGTTCTCTGTTCTAACTGCGAGGAATCCAATTCCATCGAAAATCTTTACAAATGCGCTCCGTGCAACAAAATGGATGGCAATGAAAAACCAGTTGATACGGGATCCGTCGAATACTTGTGCGACATTTGCATTGCTTCTCACGTGAAAAAAGGTCATTCTGTGCTTGATCACAGAAATCTGCAACCCACCATATGCACTGAACATAAAATGATCTGTCTTGAATACTGCATCACTTGTGATGAACTATTTTGTGGAAAGTGTTTAACGAAACACCGTTTTCATACTTCCAAGTCGATGGCCGAGATGGCCAGCGAGGTTCGATCGAAGATTTTCAATTTGTTAACTGTATGGGAGAGCAACGAAAAGACTGCTCTGGAAAAACATGAGTCAGTTTCTGCTTTCGTGAATCAACATGAATCTGAAGTTGAAACTCTAGTTAAACAAGTTGAAGACAGAATTGACAAACTAAAAGAAAAAGTGATTGCAGAAATAAGAGCGAAGCTTGCAGAGTTTAAGAAATCGGAGAGTCGGTTCGAAGATCACATACAGAAAGTTGGTCAAACTCAAAAGGAATTGCGAGGGCTGCTTAGTATGTCTGATGGATCGATGATTGAATCTTTCCGTACTCTCGAAACAAGTCTTGATTCCTTGGGCGGCGATCATCGTGCTATTGAAGTTTATGAGATGAATACTAATGCATTTGGCACTACTGAAGGATTCGATGCTTTAAATGAGAAACTCGTTCGTCAAGTGGTGAGGAACTTGAAGCTACCTGGCGTAGAAAGGGAACATCAAATCGTGCCGCCATTTGGGAACTTTAAAGGTAACCATCTTTTTAAAACCAACAGCAAGAAAGAAAGACAGAATTTATTTTCCAACAGTGCTAACAAATTTACAAATTACTTGCAAAATCAACTCATAATATAATTAATTTCAAAAACTGAAAGCTCCTGATGGAAAGAATTGACAAAGGGCTCACAATGTGCCCTCTAGACATTGATAAGTGCAAGAGGTACTGCATAAACAATGAATAAATGAATTCCCTCTAAATCATATACCACAACGAGTACATCAAACTTCTAAGTTCGAACTATTTTTAAGGCCTTTTTTAAAACCTAATGGTCGCTGATGACCACACATAGCAGTGGATGTCCTTTATTGACTATGCTGGTTGCATAATTTGTTCTATATACCGCAGGTTAATTTTAACTATTTGCACATTTTAACTCAGTTTGTACATGAAACTTGCTAGTCGTAGGCTTTTATATCCGCTTTACTCAACTTTCTTGAATTTGACAACTATTACGGTTGCTGCTTCTGCTGAATGTATCATGTGCCTAGTCTCCATCCACCTGCGGGACAGGATGGAGACTTTTCGGACAGCGGACACCCAACTGAGCTCATGGGGCTTGAGGCCAAAAAATCGGTACAACCAAATAATACAAAGCCGTATTGAATGGTTGGTTTGATATTAGTTATAGTATTTCAATAACACATGTAGAGGAGCATAATGTCAATTTTTTGATAATACGCCGCATTGTCGACATTGTTTAGTTCTGAATTAAAAAACTTGACCTTGAAAGGAGAGTCTCTTGTCAACTAAGACACCCAATTTACTTGGATGAATGCGCTGGTATCTGTGAATAGTTTTTGATGGTTAACTCAAGACTAGACGCATTTTTATTTCTTTTGAAGGTAAGTTATAGAGTGATTTTAGATATATCATTTTCCTAAATGCACAGACCGCTACAACTTGACACTACATTTGTATCATAAGCAAAACGAAAAACATCAGATGATGCAGGAACTAATGGCATGTCATTTATATGGTCGAGGAAAATTGTTGGACCCAGAATTGAACCTTGAGGCACTTTGCACACCACTGACAACCATTTGGAAGAGTTTTCATTAAAAAACGACACACTGGAAACGATCAAATTTTAAACTAAACCTCGTATTTCATATAATTTCAGTTTCTTTTTACATAATTTCAGTTTTTAAAACATCAACAGTATTAATTTTAGGAAGAAACCTTAATGAGGGTAGAGTAAATTGTATTTTTCAAGATAATTGTAGAGACAGTTTTGCATATTTTTTTTTGGAAGATTTTGCTACAGGTGTTTAAAAGAGAACTAGGACGATAATTGTTCTCATATGATTTGGTTTTACTTTGTATCAGCAATACGTTGCAGACAGAATCGGTTTCGCATGTTCAGTTGTCGGTTTTTAACTTGACAGTGCCTGTGATCTCCAAACTCTATTTTTTTTAATTCTTAGCCCCTGGCCCTACTTTCACCGTTTCCACTTAAGCCTTTCTTCCGCGAGGGAGAGAATTTCATCCACTTCGCTGTAGCCTGTCCCATTTTATGGAGGTGGATGACAATGACACCCCTCCATCTGTGACCGAAGCGGGATTCGAACCTACGATCTTGGTGTTGACGGTCCCGCTTACTCACTCAGACACGGCTGCTCTCAGCCACCGGTCTCCAAACACGATCTATGAACCTTATATGCAATCCATTGGCAACTTTGAAATTATTGGTCAATCCGCTGGATTCGTAAATCCCCGAAGTAAAAGGGGCTACTCAAATAAGTTTACTACCTCCAAAAATATTTAGTAAACAAGGATATACGGATAATTTGCAAATGGCAGAGAGTGTTTCGACCATAGTCTTAACACACACACACAAAAAAAATCAAATTACTGTAGTTTTTTCGAAGTGATGTGATAAAAGGATCTGAACGAAAAATAGAACAAAGGCATCTTGGACAGTTCTTTAAAAAATGGCAAATTGGTCAACAGTTTTTGTAAGATAAATGACGTGAAAAACAAAAATTTTTGCAGAAGTTTTTGATCCCCGAAATGGCGTTAAAAAACCTACCTAAAGAACATTCCTCGAGTAAAATTTTACTCTAGTAAACTTAAAATTAAGAAACTTTTGTGAACGGCTGAAATTAAGCTTAAATAAGACTGCTCGTCCGCTTTAATCGCTCCAAATTAGACGAAAGATCAACCCGGTTTTTTTCGACCGGGAAATTTTTGTGGAAATTTTTTATATGGTTTCGAATCGCGACTGAAAGCTTTAATATATTAGATCACTAAACCGGGTCCGATGATTATTTGTGGTATCTGATTTTGCCCGGAAAAAAATTAAAACACACCCAAATTCAAAGTTTCTCCCCATTTTCTGTGGTCGGATTAACAATGTCACAATTAAAACCTGAAAGAAACAAGACAGCCTCCCGTGTGCAGGTGGACGCTATTGAATAAATTTACTACCACAATTAGTCTGCCGTGTAAATGATACGCAAATGAAGACTTCTCCTTGATGATATATTGATGATTGAAATAAACAATTGTGTGGAAAATTTATTCTCATTTGTGGTTTGAAAGTTATAGATATTTGTTTTTGTTGATTGTCTATAGGACTAAGTCAGTTTCCACTTTTTAGCTCAAGAAGTTGCCATATGAGAGAAGAATTATGGCTTGTTGATGTTATCAGACAAATTTTAATAACTTATTCATTTTTTCATAATTTTTGTTACAGTTTTCAAGAAAGCATGGAATAGTTATGCTCGGGTGTTCAACTTTCAGTCAATTTTTTTTTTGTAACTATTAAAATTGAAAAAGCGTTTTTGATATGAAGTTTTGATTCCATCAGAAAAATAGTTATCCGGAGCTTAAAAGTAAAGAAATTTCAACTGCGCTCAGTGTTCGTAAAATATGGGGAGTTGTCAAATTGCAATTTATGCAAAAAAGAAGCCGGGAAAGTGTCGAACGGGCAAATCACGAGAAACCCAATATAATCTTAGAGAGTAAGTCAAGTTTTATTTGTTACAATTTTTGACCATAGTCTTTTAAAATTGGTCGTTCTTTTTTATTGATAAGCGATAAGTTGTTCATCTCTTTCGAAGCGTCTGAGACAACTATGACTTTTGATTTACTTCAACGCGATTTAAAGAACCCCGAAATAAGTTAATTGATATCCGAGTCTGGTAACTTATCGGAGACTTTTTCGCCTTGTTGTATGTTCCAAAAATATTGAACAGACATCGTCTCTTCATTGTCTTAGAAAACCAGTCCCGAAATGTTTTGCGATGTGCGGGTAGATGTCTAATTTGCGATCGCTTTTTGCCTTTAGTCAATTATGGTTACTGACTTTCATTCCCTCTCGCTGCACAAAATTAGGGTTCATCCTTTTTTTATATAACTTTTCAACAGTGATTACGGTGATGGGCGATAGTTCAGAAACCGTCTTCTCTTGATTCTTTGAATATAGTTCTAAAAAAATGACTAAAAAACTAGCAAAAAATCGGTGCACAAATTGAAAACATTTTCAAAAAATTTTTCATTGTTTTTGCAGAAACTTTATGAGTTTTTGACATTTTTGATTGTAACATTGGCGTTGAGAACTCCAAAACTAAATTCACTCGAGTAAAACAAAGTTTTCACGACTTAAATTGAGCACAAATAAACTTTTGTAAGCCTTTATGCTCACCTTACTAGCTTGAAGTTAGACCAAAAATCAAAAATTTCGAACTGGTTTTTCTCGACACTGAGAAAAATTTTTCAGATTTTTCAATGTCGTTCAAATCACGACTGAAAAGGCTTCAATATAATTTATAAATTAACCCATTTCGATGATTATTTGTGGTACCTGATTTTGCGTGGAAATTTAAAAAATGAAAAATAAAATAAAACAACCGGATGCAAATTTCCTCTTTATTTTTTTTTAAATGTTCGGAGCAATAAGGTGTTCTAGTGTTGACGAAACTGATTTGACGCTTAATCAAGTGCAGCTAATGCGCTTGATGCAGTCAATATGATGCTGTCAGGATAATTTCTAACAATATGTTTTAATTTCATTGATTTTGAAAATTGTGTCGTGTGTTTTACATGGTTTTACTGCGGTTATTGCTCCCTTTTTGCAGAAAGTGCTGGAAAATTTTTGCTAGGTGTGTGTGTGTGTGTGTGTGCGGTATGGCCCTGGCAGTTATCTCGAGGGTTTATAGTTATCTGCATAATTAACGTTAAGTTTTTATATTTATGTACCAAAGTCAATAAGACCGAGAGTGATTGTTCCGACCATTGAAAATGGGAAGGAAATTTGGATTCGGGTGTCTTAGTTTTTTTTTGTTTTCCACGCAAAATCAGCTACCACAAAAATCATCGGATAGGGTTCAGTGATGTATCGTGTTAAAGCCCTTTCAGTTGTAATTCGAACGACTTTTCACAGTGTCGAGAAAAACCGGTTTTCACGGTCGAGCTAATTAGTAAGATAGTTAATAATTTCAATAGCTTTTTAAGCTTAATTTAAGCCGTAAAAACTTAGTTTCACTCAAGTAAAGATAGTTTTCGGGGTTTTTTGCGCAATTTTGGGAATCAAAAACTTGAAAATTCGAAAATGTTACATTTTTTCTATTTTTTTTTTCGTTTTTCAAGTCATTTTTCTTCAAAACTGTTTTCCAATTGAATTCTTTTAGTATGATTCTCAAATATGTCTAAGTTTTGTTTTTTTCGTTCAGATTCTTAATCACAACATGCAGAAAAAAACGACACCAATTTGAGAAAACGTTTTTGTATTTTTTAAGAATGTGGTCGGCTATCCTTGTTACGCTTGCTTTTTCTCGTTATATAAACTGTTTTCGGGTTAACAACTTGTTTTACATAATCACTTCGTATCTTGGTTCATTATCAATTCAAATTTGTAACGTCTCCGACACACTTAGTCTGGAGGCAATGAATACGCCTGGGACAGCAAAGGTCCTGGGTTCGAATCTGAGCAAGGCCTGTTGTTTTGCAAACGGGAAATATTTCGGTTCAGAAAAATTGTCGGCTTATTATTTTTCGGTTTATGTTTTCTGGCTTTCAATTTGCATTTCTACCAGCCTTGACTAGTAGTGAACGTAGTTAAGACTCCTATATAGGTCTTGCTTTTTTCCGGAAAAAGTCTTAAAATGTGCATAAAATTGGCTAATAACTACAGATGTGCATTCATACATATTGATGCCTTTATGAATTCAGTTAGGTATATCAGCAGTTTTTCAGTTCAATTGAAATTCATCTGCAGAAAGTGACGTAAAAAGCAGTATACAAATACAAACGTGAAAATGGTGCGAAAAAACGTGAACGATTTCTAGCTTTGAAAGGGGAATTTAATGTTTAGATTTCCAGCGCAACAAAAACTTGACCTATTGATCCAGTTGTATCAAGATGGGTTAATGTTATCAAAAAAGCGCCAATCATAAATCTTTCTAGAAGTTCAAAGAGCTTAAAGGGCATCTATTTTTCTCCGAATTTCGAAAGTTGAGATTTTTTCAAAAAAAGTCAGTGTTTTTTCATGTTTACTTGCGTTCATTCCTCTTTTCCAATCTTCGATTGGCTATGTTCTTTTTCCCGTCAAAAATTTTTTTCGGTCTGAATGATTTTGGCTTATTGTATTGGCGTAATAATCTATTCGGTCGTTTGAAGGAACCATAAGTTGCATGCTTTCCTCCGGATTGCACAAAACCATAAGTTTTTAAAGACAACAATTTTTTTCTCTCGTAATTGTTTTGAATTTTCATAAAACGCCATTGAATGTGTTTCTAGATGTGTTTTCCGCAAATAGAACATCATTCCAGGCAACGTTTTTCAGTTGAGGTTTCTCCGAAAAGTTTTCCGTTTTCTTTGGATTTAGTGGATCTCCTTTTCTTCCCTGTCTGCTAGCTTGTAATGCTATTTTTGGACACAGTGGTTTCGCTTCGTCTTTAATATTGAACCCTACTTTTTTCAGGATCCTCGATTGGCCTAGGGCTGATGCCCTCGCCTTTGCATCCTAAGGTCTGGGGCTCGGGTCTGAATCGGATTTTTTTTTCAGTTTGTATGCAATTGAAAAACAAATCGGTTAACATTGAATTGTCTGACCTTCAATTGTCTGCTCAAGTTTTGTCAGCTAAGTTTCCTCATCACGGATTTTGCTTGGCTTGTGCTATGAGCAACTTTAATTGCAAAAGCAAAAGTTGTTCATTCCCTTCTGCTGAAAGATTATCGGCTTAGTTGCAAGAATTCTAATTTTTCTTGCGCTGAAAGCAACTTTCATTGTAGTTGCAAGTGGAAGTGCTGTTCATGCTAGACTCAGTTGGGACTTAAAACTTGTGTGTGTTCCAAGATTATCGATTTTGTTGACTCTTTGTAAGTTTTGTTCCGTTGCTTATTTAAGATTCAAATTTCTGTTATTTTTGGAATGAATTTTTATTGAGACATATCGAGAATTTTAAATTTTTAGTAGAACTATATATTTTTTATTTTATAACTTTTAAAAAAATTTCGACTCAATGTTTTTCTTAATGTTTTTGTTGCATCGCAAGTAGTGCGAAGATCCGCTTTGCCTCTGTGTTAAATTTGCAAACTAAATTTTCATGGTTGCTTAATGCTTGAGCTAGAGGCAGAAGCGAACTAAACAAATAGAAAAGATGTTCACGGAACATGAATTTTTGAAAAGAAAAACAAAACAACATTTAAATAGCCATTTTGACGGAATTTGACAAATATGACCAGAAAAGTATCAATGACCTGAGCTCATTCATCAAGAAAAATTCAAAAGTAATTGATACAAATTAAATGCTAATCCTTGTTTATAAGCTTTTGAATACTAACTACGATGATGAGATTTTTCTTGCCTTCTAGTTCAGAAACCGGCTAATTATATTTTTGTTTCCTCACTAAGCTAAGTGCCCAAAAGTTACAATGATTCTTATCGAGGAAGATTAATGATTGCCAAAGTTATTCCTTTGTTAATGATTTCAGATGCATTTAAATTTGGACTAGAGTCCACTGGCCAATCATCCAGCTTTAAATTTGGAGTCAGCACCGCGGCTCCAAATACTGAACAAAAGCCAACGGTCAGTGACCGAGCCAATTACGACGAAAACATTTTTCAGTCAAAGGACGTATATGTTCATAATGCGACAACAAAAAGATCTACAGAGCAAACCACCGCTTCGACTTTCGCATCGATCAAGAAATCAAAAGACCCTTTTCGTGAAACCGGTTTCGAGTCGGGGCTTTTCGTGAAACAGGCTTCGCCTCAAACAGCAGCTGGAAATCTATGCGGGAAAGGAGAAGCTAAAATGCAACGTGTGGGGTCGTTATTTGCCCGACCGAAGAGTGACGATATGCAGACTGCGAATGGTAAGCGAAGTGAATTTTAATGACGTGATGAAGAGTAAAAACTAAATATTGATGCAATTTTGAAATTTTTAAATGACACTGTCATAAAAGAAATGTAGAGGACGAAATGCGCAAGAATTACCATTTCGACGAATATCTGCCATTAAGCGGTGCAATGCTACAAAACTACAGAGGACCAGATAATTTATTATATTAAAAACCATATAGTTCTTGTGGTGATTACTTAGTTTTCTTTATGCCATGTACTCCGGGGTACTAGACTTTTTTTCCAACCAGGTACTAGACTACATGAAACCGAGTACTATACTTTTTTCCGTAAATGACTTTGTTCTCTAGATTTCGCACGTGAAAATGTGCGTGTTTCAATGTGCGTGCTTCATATTAAATTCAATCAACCATCCGGCGCATCTGGTGAAGAGGTAACTTCCATGCTAGAAATGACAGAGGCTTGTGGTTCGAATCAGCATTCGTCTATTTTTTTGAATACCATTTCTTAATTCCCTTTGGTGGAAGTAAACGAGTTATAAAAATATTTAGAGAAAAATTTCTTATTTAATTTTTCTTAAATGTTTTACGCATGCGCTTGTTATGCTCTAAATTAGAAAGATTTGTCTTTCTCAAGTTTGCTCTTTCGTCAACCATGGGCCCATTTTTGAGCATGTATGCGTTTCAAATACCTCTTCTAATAGGTATTTGTTTTATATTGGTTTGTTTTTCCGGTTCGGTGTATCAGTTTTTTTTTGTTTTTCTTTGTTTTTTTACACGGACTTAAAGTTTTTGCTGTATACCTAATTGGTTCAGTGACTCATATGGCGTCGTTTGATGAGCGAAACAAGTTTCTTGTGCGTGTGCGTTTTTTGTATTTTGAGGGTTATTGCTTATTCAAGGGGTGTCAGTACAAAAATTGTCGGCTTAGTTACCGCTTCGTTAGTTTTGTTACGATTCAAATTTAACGTTCAACTCTCTATTTGGCGTATTTGTTTTTAAGATGCTCTTTTTTCAAGACTTAGACAAAGATATGAAATATTAGCTGATCTAGCTTTTCTCGGTTTTTTTAACAAAAAAATCGTCTTAACGGCTTAGGTCTCAATTTCTGTCTTCTAGTTTGTGATGCTATGTTGTATCTCAAGTGGTGCGAAGCACTGCTTTGCCTCTGTGTATCAATTTGAAACCTAACCAGGGTCTCGTCCAGTCAGCTACGAATGAATCTTGTTACCCTTGGATTTTTTCTTAGACTTTTTTCGGGTTACCAGCTAGTTTAAGAAACTCAAGGCCCAATTTCATGAAGTTTCGAATTCAACTACAGAGTACTAGTTGCTTCTGCATGCTGTGTCTAGACTCAAAATTTTCTATTCTTGATTATAGAGTTTTGATATTAGTTTTATGCTGATTTTTCGGCTTCAAGGTTTGTCAACTTAAGCTCTGTCAGTTTAGTTTCCAAATGATGTAGTCTTCTTCGCATACGCTCCTGATAATCTATCGTGGATCCTATGCGGGGGTTACTGGAAGTTTTTCAATATGTTTTTGACGGAAGTTTTCGGCTGAGTTTCAGTTTATTGGATGTCGGCTTCAATTCGATCGGCTTATTTACCGAATTTTTCCCCTTGAAATGAAGTGCTTTTGAGATCGGTAAGACTCTGGCACCATTTTTTGAATGCCAACCGCAGTAATACCTCTTGAAAACCTTAATACTATCGAACACAGAAAATATTCTTTTTTGTTCGTTGATGTTTTTCTTGTTTTTCATCTCTTCAGTTTTCAATTCCTGTTTTCTAGTTTTTAGCATCATATTGCACTCATCCTATCCTATAATTTTTGTATCGAAAGTGGAGCGAATCTCAGCTTTGCTTCAGTGTTAAATGATTCAATTCTTTTATTAAACCTGCGAGCGTAGTGTATTACTACGAACCTTCTTTTTTTTAAAAACTAAAAACAATTTTTTTAAAAACTTTTTTTTAAAAACTTGCAAACTAAAGTGCTCATTTGGTGGCACTTTTGCTATAATCATGATCTGTAGCATTAAAAGTTTCTCATTTTTTCTCTGCTTTGTTTGTGGCTTGTGTTTGTGAATTGTTAACCGTCCGTGGTTGAGTGATTAGTGCCTGAGACTCAACATCTCTAGGTGCGGAGATCGAGTCCGACACTTAGCCGAATTCTTACTAATTCGAGGCTTATTTATACTCTTCTTATTTCCTTTTATACAGCTGCTTTTTGTCGTGTTCTCGCTAGTTTTCGCGAAGCACAGACGTCTATGTGTGAAGCATGCGGTAAACAAGAATGTTGCAACCGGTTTCAAGATTTTTTGCCGTAAATAGGGTAATTTTTTTTACAGAATGGTAAAATTAGAAAATGTAACTTTACTTATCTCATATAACACCTACACGCACTACTTTGAAAAATTGGGCTCATGCTTGTTGCTGTGTAGGCCGGTACATGCAAAGTTTTGCATTATAAGTTCTAATGAGCCTTGCAAAATTTTTTGGTCAATTTTCTGCTTATTGCGTGTGTGCTTCAATAATTAATTTAATTGGAAGTTTGACTTGATCACTATTTAGCCTCAGTAAAACAGTCAACCATTTTCATCAAATTATTTTGAGTGTTAAAATTTTCGAGCTTTTTCTAAGAAACAAGAACCAAAAGTATGAGTGGATGCCAGCTTTTGGTTAGAACTTATGTTGTGTCTCCTGAACTTTTTCCGCAACCAGCGCTTCTTTGCAATACTAGGAATATTTTCCGCTCCTGTCCATAGCAAATTGTATTCGACAACTCAGTTCAACTGATTGAAAACATCACCAACTACAGTTCAACTGATTGAAAATCTCGCCAATTACAATTCAAAAGAATATGTGCTTGTATTAGGTATAAAGACATATTAGGCATAAAGACAGGTATAAAGATATTTTTTTGATATTTTCAATGGTTTTCATCTAATCTTTGGCGAATCTGATCAACAGATTTTCCTATTAAAACTAAATGAAAATCGCAATTTTCTAAGGAACAGAATGAATTGTGATAGGACAATCGTTTTCAACAATAAGTTTCTCATTAAATGTTTTTAATTTTAGACTGTCTAAAAGTTAAGAAGAGATTGACACATAACAGCAGCCATTTTGATGAATGATTTTTATCTAATATGGTCGAGTATAATGGTACTACTAACGCTTTTGTAGAATCGATATTTGGATTCCTTGTCGACATACGCCTTCATCGTTCCTTATTTGGAAACGAGGATGGTTCCTGCAGTTTACTTAAATTTTCACTTAATCTCAAAATTATTTATTTCTGTTCTCTTCATCGGATCAGATTGCTCTTTCTTTTAAAATAAACTCAACAGAAGGTGCTACTCCCAATTTTTTTTAATTTTCAAAAAATCAAACATGAATTTGGAGATTTGCTGCTTGGTTTGTGTTTACTTTGAATTGCGCTTCCAACCATTAAAGAAAGTGAACTGGGACGAATTAAAAAGCATCAGCAAGTTAGTCTTGGCGAGAAACGAGTAGAAACAATCTCGTGAATTAGAAATATTGTTATTCACGCTGCGTGGACTCGTTCCTATACTGGAACTCACATCTGGCAAAGAATCAACTTTGGACAAGGATCTTGTCAACTGCATTTAAGTGTTTGACATAGCAACTTAAAATAGAAGACAAGTCTATGTCACAATTAAAAACTACAATTTCAATAAGCCTACATTCAGGCTCGGTTAATCACTGCAAAATAAATTGAAGTAAAAACAAATTTCTTATGTCAACTATACTTTGAACGAATTTTATGCTTGTTGAGATCTGTAATGTAGAATGAAATTGTTCAATGATCTTTTTCGGTCTTTTAATCAAAGTATGGCATCCTCTCAAGTCTTATTTCAATTAGTTTTCGAATCCAGCATTATGAGTTGATTTATGATTTTTTTTCGAGAAAATTGATTTTCAAACTTCCTACAAAATTGGGACTTTTTCATATTGCTTTTTCAAGAAAAACCCCTAAAAGTTTCACAAAGAGTTATATAAACACAAGTTATACCGAATTTGCCGAATCGGTTGTAGGTTCACATTTATCTCAATACGAGTGGACTCCAAATAATACTTGGAGAAAAACATAATTACGATAGCGTTCCGATAGCAAAGAATTCAATTTTTTAGCATATCACCGAAATGGGAATCAATGGAGAAATGATCAGTCTTTAAATAATTCAATAAATGTAGTCAATGGATCAAATTGCTTGTTACACTTCCCCCCTTACTATGTTACATACACATTTGAAGAAAGACTGCATCATATTTGACTAATGCACTGTAGAAAATGAGCGTTCAGAAATTGACTGAAATTCTTAAAATCGTATGAGATTATTTAGTAAGACTTTATCTCAAATGGAAAAAAGTCTATTTCTTCTGTGTCGGTGTAGTTCTGGACCTGGACATAAATCTGAAAAAGATGAACCCATTTTTTCCTTTTGATGCTCTTATTGGATCCGGATACTCAAGTATGGGTTATTTGGTCGCCAACTTCAAAATCTTTTGACCAAATGCAAATCTTCATGATTATGCTGAATCGGTGAAATCTAGTACGCAAAAAGTACGGGTTATTGCTATGTTATACCTAGATTTATCTGTTTAGGTTTTCTTGGTCATGGATTACTCTTTTTATGGTAGATATTGAAATATTTTATTTGAAAGTGTATGAGTGGTTTGACTGTTAATCATTGTCGAAAGCTAAATTTTGTTGTGTTGGATATAGAGTATTTTGAAGACCAAGTAGTTAAAGTGTTGGGAGTTTCTCAGGTTGGGAAAACTGGGATTTTTTTTCCAAAAGTTTCAAACCAACTTTTCAATCTGCTTTGTGTACAAAACATCTTCATAGAGTTAGTTAGAGTAGTGAAAGACAGAACTGGATGAAATTTACAACAAGATGAAAAATTGAAATAATATTAAAATCTCAAAACATTGGAGACTTAATTTTCGGAACTTGGAGTTAGAGCCCGACACATGTCCGAAAATTCAACG